CCCCCATGAATCCTCGATAATTTGTAAATTATTTTTTCATGTCTTACACTGTCTGACATCTCCCTTCACCCACTTTTCTGTTGTCTGTCCCCCAGGGAGGGGGTTATATGTGGATCCTTGTGATCAGTTCACCCTTTCTACCCCACCTTCCCCTTCTGGTATTGCTACTCTCGTTTGGTCCTGAGGGGTTTATCTGTCCTGGACAGAATTACGAGGCTTTTAAGACAACCTCTGACCTCAGGAGAAAGGTCCAAGACAGTGGTTTTAAGGGCAAATCCTAGACTCCCTCTGGCATTATCTGGGAGCCTGTTAGAAATGCAGATTCTCAGGACCTATCTTAGATTGAATCAAACACCCAAATGTTAGGCCCAGCAATCCCTTTGAACAGTAATTGTGTTTTAATCAGTTAACGAGCCAGTTTGGGCTGAAATGTGGAGGCTACACGCAGCAGTAACACAAAGCTGAGGCTGGATATGATCAGGTGAGGAGGTGATACTGGAGGGTAAATCAAAGAATGAGATGAATAGGCTGGCTTATACTGGGACATGTGAGGTGGGAGAGGAAAACTGGGTTGTCTGTAGATTGTTCCCGCCAATGAAGGGTTTTGGAGTCCAACTAGGGAACTAAGCATGTGGGAATTGGGAAGCAAGCTGTTAAAAGTTCTGGAAGTACCAGTGACAGGTGACCACAGTGCTTGGGGAAGATGGGAGTACACTACTCAGAAATCCACCACCTGGCTGTCGTACTGTACTGGCTTGTGTTGCTATGATGCTGAAAGCTGTCACCAGTATTTCAAATATTAGCAAGGTTCCCCATGGTGGAAGGTTTCAGAGAACCTTCAGATAAAGCAGGCCAGGGCATGGTGACCTACTTTTGAAACTGGCCAATAAAACCCCTATGGGTCCCGAACAGAATACTGACGGCATCGTGCTGGAAAATGAAAGCCCCAGTTTGGAAGGCACTTGACAATGAGTGCAGTGATGGGTCTACTTGAGCAGACCAATGGTCAGGAAGTTGATGCCAGACTGGGCAATGAGTTTCACTGCTGTACCCGACATCATCCTGAGAGCTGGCTTCATGGGAACCACCCCCACCACCACAGCAGAGCCAAGTGTTTTAAGGAGAGTGCTCTCCAGGGAAATGTCTGTTATATCCAGGTTTTTCTCTTCTAGAAGACTTCTTCCCATATCCTCTACAGGTGTGTGAGCTCTTGAGCTTTCTCATCAGTTTAACTAAACACTTATACCCCAAAGGTCCGGTGGGGTGGAAATAGCACGGTTGCTCCCTACTCCCACTTACCCTCCTTGAAACTCTTGGTCAAATAGCACATGTGAGATTAGGTAGCAGAAACAAACACCACCGCCATCTCAGTGATTTACACGCCACTTTATTTATTGTTCTTACAAAGGCTATTTCAGGTGTGAGGAATTCTCCAGAATGGTTGGCTCCCACGGGGGCCTCAGCATCCCAAATGGCTTTGAACTCGGCTCCTTTATGTGTGTTTCACAATTAAGGCAAAAGGAGTACTAGTCTTGCACCAGCAAAGAACTTCTTCAGCCCAGAGGTCGACACGTGTACTCACAGCCCATGACCCTGCCAGCAGCAGGGAAGCGTAACCATTAGCCCGTTCACCACTTGTTAGAACGCAAATGTCCTAAGCAGTTTTGCTTCTCCTCTTCACAGATGTGTCCTCAGAATCCAGGACAGTTTGTGGCACATCAGAACACGCTCCTGAACTGATTAAGTGACGCACACGTCCTGGCAGAAGAGATGCGTCTAGGCCTCAGGGTTCTGAGGGTATTGGGTCACAGCTTGTGGACTGCAGCCTGAGAGCCAACTGTGCTTCAGATGCAAGTCCCAAGTGCTGTGCATCTTGAAGAGCAAAACGAAAGCATGGCTGAAAGTTCCAGACCAACTCCGACTGAAAAAGGGCTGGTGCCCAAAGGTTCCAGATTTACCAGAGAAAAGGGTAAAAATGGATTTGAGCAGACCACATAGCAACCAAGTTGCTATAGTGACTCACACCATTAAGCACTGAAGCCAAGGGCCACCACCACCTTGGCTCCTGTCAGTCATAGCGTCAACCCCACACACTACCAGGAAGCAAAGGGAATGGAAAGGCATACGCTGGAATTGCGCATTGATTGTAGCCTAGATTCGGCTAGGCACTTTGCTTCCCTAGATTCATCTCATCTCCAGAACCCTGAGGTGAACTGTTAAGCCTTATTTTACACACCAACCCACCCCTCACTGGGTTGATTCTAAATCATAGCAAGCCTGTAAGGCAGAGTAAAGTGGTTAAGGTTCCCGAGAATATAAATCTTTACATTCTTCTTTCTCCCTTGGAGCAGCTGGTGGATTTGAACCAAAAACCTTGTGGTTTACAATGTTATCTCAAAGGATCACAGGGCACCATTGATACACTAAAGGAGACTTACAGTGTCTGAGTGATTAATCAAGAAATAGGAATGATTTCCAAGCCAGAAAGAGAACACAACATCATCTAGGCTAGTTGTACAAAAATGGCATACAAATCAGTCCTGCCAATCCAGCCTCCAGCCGAATGATGAAGAGGGCTCTTGAGCAAGTCCTCTTACCTCTTTTGAGCCTTTTACTTCCCCATCTATACAGTTGGTTTCTTAAACCTCTCCCCTAGGATGGAAACATACATGAGTCACTGTTGCAGATAAATAGGTAAAGCATGAGGAAATCTACAAGACTTCACCGACTTGAAAAGCGACCTGGTGTTGTAGTTAAGTTCTTGGCTGCTAACCGAAAAGGTGGTGGTTCAGAACCATTCTACAGGACAAGAGGAGGCATTCCACTTCTGTAATGATTTCTAACTTGGGGACTCTATGGGGCAGTTCTATCTGGCCCTACAGAATTGATTCGATGGCAATGGGATGGCTATACAGACTTTAAGGTACCCTGATGGCACAATGGTAAGTGCTTGGTTGTGAAGCAAACGTTTAGAGCTCTCAGTAGGTCAATGAGCAAAAAGACTTGGTGATCTGCCGTTACAGATTACCACCTCAACCTAAGAAACTCTTCTAAGTGGCAGTTTTATTTGGCTACAGATTACCACCTCAACCTAAGAAACTCTTCTAAGTGGCAGTTTTATTTGCCCTACTGGGTCACTAAGAGCTGGAATTGACTCAGTGGCAGCAACATACAGCTGGGCACCAGTCCATCAAATTTATTACCCAAGACTGCTCTTAAATTCTGTGCTTGAGAAAAGGGCAGACAGACCCTTGCCCACTGAAGTGCTCACAGTGTCTTAGTTATCTAATGCTGCTATAAAATACAGGCAGGTAGCTTTAAGGAACAGAACTTGATTTTCTTAGTTGAGAAGGCTAGAAGTCTGAATTCAGGGAATTGGCTCCTGAGGAAAGCTCACTCTGTCTACTGTAGGGAGTGTCTCTGTCTCTTCTTAGCTTCTACTCCTGGTACCTGGCAAGGGAATGACATGCACCTTTTTCTGCGTTTGTGTTTGCTTCATTTGTTCTTTCATATCTCAACGGATAGGTTTTTAAGGCACACCCTATACTGCTACTATCACATTAACGTAAGGGAAATCAATTCCCAAGGGAGACTAAAACCACAGGTACACCCATTGCTGTAGAGCTAATTCCAACATACAACCGCTCTCTAGGTTAGAGCTGAACTGCCCCACAGGATGCTTAAGGCTGTAATCTTCATAGGAGTGCTACGTCATTCTCCAGGGGAGTGGCTGTTGAGTCAAACTGGCACCTTGAACAGCTGAACTCTTAACCACTGTGCAACCAGGGCTCCTACTTCAGGGCTAGGGCTTTGGACTTACACATCTTGCTGTGGACACAATTCAATCTATAACACAGTGTAAGACAAACTACACAGGTGTGAATTCAACAATCCTTCCGTAACATTTTCATTGTGGGAACTCTTATCTTTTGTAAACTAGATTCCTCATGTCACCATAGCAAGTGAACTTCTGGGATCTGTTTGGAGCACACATACCCTAGTTCCCATATAAACACAATTTCCCCTTGTTCTTAAGAAAAACAAGCCAAATTTAAAAGCAAACAAAAACAAACCTGACAAAAATCTGATCCTGAACGGCCACTAATTTTCTTTCAAGCCATGGGCAAGTGCTAAATTTTATGGCTGTTTTATCCTATTGACATCATGAGGTAAAGAGATGTCATTTATTGCCAGAACTAATTCTTTACAACTAACACATAGTTCATGTCCATAAATTCAACCCGTATTCCTAAAATCTCATTAGAGACGGTTTCCATTTTTCAAACACCACAATGAGCCATAAGCTAGTGCAGCAGCTGATCTAGTAGACTCCTGGATGGTGACTTAAATGTGAGTACAGTTTAAAAAAAAAATCAAGATTTAAAGTTGCTAAAAAATTCAAGGAGAAACTCACCTAACCTTGTGAAGTGACCAAAGAGAACATAAGATCCGGTTTCTTGGAAAATTCGTTTTAGGAGACAATTTAAAATGTTGTACATCTACCACCCTGAGATTAATAGTTTCCAATTCAACACGTTATTGCTTTCTTGGGGGAAGACCAGGCTACACGTTTCTGTATGTTAAAAAATGGGGTGATTAATATAAAACTTTCACTTCTAGGATCACAGAAGACTGTTAATTAACTCATGGTTAAACCTACTATTTGAAGTTGAGTTTCTTTTGCAAGACAAAACTCTCATCATAATGTTCTTAGAACATTATGGGAATTCTGTTAAAAGTAGTGAACTGTCATTCTCCTTTGCAGACTAGACTTCTGTCATTTGCACCCATAAGATTTCCATCGATGACAAAATCTTACGTTGTTTCATGATATTGTGTTTCTCCATTTGGTGAACTTTAGAAAGGGGATAATGGGTTAGCTTTTGTTCACTTGTGGAGTTTTTGGTGCCTTAGAAGGCTTGACCGCCTGCTGAAGTTTCTCTTGCAGATGCTACAAGAAAATGGTTGCTCACCTGTATGGGTTCTCCGGTGTTTAACAAGGTGGGAGTTCTGACTGAACTTTTTCCCACATTCATGACATGTAAAAGGTTTCTCTCCTGTGTGAGTCCTCTGGTGTGTGTGTAGATTTGTGTTTTGACTGAAGCTTTTCCCACACCATGAGCATTTATAAGGTTTTATGCCCTGGTGAGTTGTTAAGTGCTTATTAAGATCTGAACTCCATCTAAACCTCTTATCACATTGTTGACATTTATAGGGTTTCTCTTCAGTGTGAATTCGCTGGTGCTTAATAAGGTCAGAACTAACTCTGAAGCTTTTCCCACATTCCTGGCATTTAAAAGGCTTCTCCCGTGCACGGTTTTTCTTGTGAAGATCCATAAGTTTCAGCAACTCTTGCTTCCAGGTTGAAAGTTTTTTTCTTTTCTTCACTGGAAAATCTCGAGGCCATTTCTCAGCCCTCTGCACACCACCTTGATTTTCTTTGCCTGTTGTTTTCTGAGGGATGCTTGTTCTGGACTTTTTGGAAACGGTACCTCCTAGTGCTTCTATTTCTATGGCAGGAAGCAAGACAGGCTGAGAATTCCCAGTGTCAATTTTGAGTTTTAACCCTGTTGAAATAAACTTTAAGAATCAGCCCTCTTATCCAGGGACAGAAAAATCACAGGAATACAACAACAAAAAGAAAAACTCAATGATGGATAATTTAAAAAAATAATAGTGAAATTGTAAAATGTTTAAATTCCTCTAAGGTTCTGATCAATGTGTAATTCCCTTCTTCCCGTGGCATACATACCTGTAGGGGATTCAACAGGTCTGTCCTTGAATTCTCTGGGTCCATGGATCCATGGCTCTTCCCCTTGCTCTAGACAGGAGATCACTTTAGGTTTAGGGAGTACAAATAATGCTGCAAGAAGGAAAGATTGAGGTCATGGACTAGCAAGCTAACAGTGACGTGGCTGCCTAATCCCAGACTATTTAATGGAAAGCAAAGGGCTCTTGGACTCCAAATGGTTAAAGTGGGCAATCTGATTTGTGTGACTAAGAAATAAGACTAGGATGGACAAATGAAAAGAAAACAAAGAATGGCAATCCAGTACATATTGCTTTTCCTGTCACCGAAAAAACATTGTATTCCACCAAAGGGGATGCAAGTCCCAGAGCTTGCAGGGAACCCATTAACTCAACAGGAAGAATAGAAGGCCTAGTGAAGCCAATCCAAAGTAAGTTAGGTATCATATACATATATGTTGCCTATACCAATCAGTTACTTTTTATTTATGCCTATGCATCAAGCACTGGAGGACTAGAAAAGGTTTCTAGTGTTCCTCTAACTCACTGGTTTATATTCAGATGGGAAAGATGGAAAAGAATGGAAACTTTTCCCAAATACAGATGACTATATGGTAGAAGTATTTATTAAGTAATTCAATTTGCAGTGGCTGCTATGTATTGAATAACACTCTATGGGCTGGGGATACCTGGAACTTATATTCTAAAAGAGTAAAATGATCAATATATGTTTTTGGAAGAAACTGAAAATGGGTCAAGATCATTTTAGCACTGTGCTTCTAACAAGCTATTCTGATAAGATCACTGTGAGTGATAGCTGAAATTGGAAAAGGAGGGTCGTTTGTATGTGCAAAAGCACAGCAGTGGAAGGAATCAAACCCACTCTCGTCATCAATTCCCAATTCTGCCGCATACAGCAACCCTATACAGGGTTTCTGAGACGATAAATCTTTATGGGAGCAGACAGCTTCATCTTTTTCCTGTGGATCCTTTGGTCGGGTTGAGCTGCTAATCTAGCGGCCCACTGTCCAATCCACAGCACTACCAGGGCTCATTAGTTGAGGACAAGAAATGGGAAGGTACAAATGACGTTGATGAGTTCAAGAATCAACAAAGTCAGTGTGGCTAAATCAGACTGAGCACGGGCAGGAGGAGCTCAAGATGAGGCAGAGACAGGAGCAACCTTCAAACATCAAACTGACTGCCATCAAGTTATTTCTGACTCACAGCAACCCCACAGGACAGGCTAGAACTGCCCCTGTGGGTTTCTGAGGCTGTAAATTTTTATGGGAGCAGAAAGCCTCATCTTTCCCCTGTGGAGCAGCTGATGGTTTTGAACTCTGATGGTTAGCAACCTAGTAGCCTACTAAGCCTTCAGGGCTCCTTAAAATGTAGTGGCCAAATAATGGAGGCTCGTGTGCACTTCAGGGATGAATTTAGGTTTTTTTTCTTTCTGAAAGTGCTGAACAGTCACTGCAGGACTTAGATGCACGGAAATGTTATGATTTGGTGGTTTTTAAAAGATTCCTTGAGCCTCTGTGTGGAAAACAAGACTATACTGGGCAGGAATGGAGGCAGGGGATCCCATTTAGAGAGCTATCAAAATAGACTTGGATAAAGATTATGGTGGCTTAGACCAGCAGGCTTAAGAGTAGAGAAGGCTGAGATGGACTTGAACCCAGAATATATTTTGAAGGCAGAGTCAAGAGAACTCGCTGATGAACTGCTTACAGGGTATGAGGGGAGAATCGCGAAGGATGTTTGTAAGCTTTCTGGCCACATAACCGAGTGAATGGTGGTGTTCTTTACTGACATGAGGAACATGGGGGAAGAGCCAGTTTGAGAAGGGACACTGAATTAAGATTTTTCTTTATGATAAGGAATGAACTATATGGTAGAAGCTTATAGTTCTACCTATAAGCTTATTTGGAAAATATTTGGAAAAGCTCTCAGGGGCATCTGCATACACCGTATTTCTTCTCTATGCCTTCCAGTTGAGAACCAACCAACAATATGAGCAGGGGGACATTCTCACAGGGGTGCATTCTCAGTAAGCTGACATGACAGACTCCTCAATTTCTAGACAAAGGGAAGGGAATTTTTACCTAGAGAGATGACAGTCTCATAGTTTTCCTGCATTACATCATGGTAGAGGGCCTTCTGAGTGGGCTCCAGTAACTCCCATTCTTCCTGGGAAAAATACATGGCCACCTCTTCAAATGTCAACAAGCTCTAATGAAGAGAATTGGGGTGGGCTTCAGTTCAGTGCTTGGCACTACAGAAGCACTTGTGCCACTTGACCTCTGAACTGCATGGTAGGCCAAGCACTGAAGGAATTAATAGCACAATCTTAAAATACGTAAGAAAGCATTAATGGAGGACCCAAGGGTGTAGCAAACAGCCTGAGAGGTGTCCTGTGCCCACTGAGCCAAGCCAAGTTATCCAGGAGACAATATCTGGCATTAACATGCCTCTGAGCATCTGTAAGGCAGTGGGTTATTGGCCAGCGGGGAAAAGCATAGACAGGGCATGTTTACAAAGCCCTGAGCATCTGGAAAGTATAGCTCACCTGGGCTTCAGGTATGATGATCTTAGGGGCCATCATCCAATCTTTGGTGTTTGTCTGTTCAGAAAGGGCTAGAGTCTGTGGGGCAGGCAGACCTGTGGGTGGAAAAGAACCATAGACCATTTCCTTTTGTTTATAAACATCCTAAACTCATTTCTAAAATACTTTTGATGCTGATTCAAGGGTGAAGTGCAGTGTTATTTGGATTTACCAGCCCACATAACAGTTACCCTACCTCTTCCTGAGTTCATTAGAAAGGGACAGCCACTTTTATTTTCCTCTCATGAAATAAAATTATTCTCTGAGCTGGCCAAGGGCTAACGGTTTTTAAAAATGAAGTACTTAAGGACTCTGATGTCTAGGAGATAAGGCATTTTTGTCTTGTTTGCTTTTTTCCCGGTACATAGATCTGTTCAAAGCCTGCCAGTGACAACCTGTTTGGCTCGTTTTCCCTCTAGCTTAGGAGGAGGTGGCCCTGATGCATCCATTGTCCATCTTTTTGCGCCTTTCTACTTTTCTAAGGAAGAGAGTTCATGACATAACAAGGGTTCTGTGATTTGGAAATTCTGAAACCTAGGCTGACTCACATCTACACAGTTGGCCTATTTACTGCCACCTGGCGGGGGATGAAGGGTGGAAGTATAATTGCTAGCATAGCTTTTGCAAGTCCTTTAACAGTATTCCAAATGAACAAATTATCATCACCTCTCCCAGGCCGTGAAATCTATCATAAAGCTCCTTACCCTTTTCGTACACGGGGGCAGTTTCTTTTTGAGCATTTCTGCATGGCTGTTTCTGTAGACCCTGGGATGCATTCACAAACTCTCCATCCTGCAACCGGCCCAGTCGTTGGGCCTCCTTTTCCATCTCGTGGAACGAAACCTAGAAACAATCCCCATCCTTGTTACCTTAAAAATGTATTTTTGGTTTGAGGGTAGTGGTAGAGGGAAGAATGAGTACTGATCCTGGAAGGCATGAAGATTAATAGTGAAAAGGCTTAAGAGACAATGGACAACTCATTTTCCAGAGTGTCCTACACAAAATCTGGGAAAATTAGGATAAAATGGAAAAAGCTGAGAATGCTTCCAACCCATAACAAAGCCTCTCTGCATATAGCTCAGGGCACTAGCAAGGTGGGGTTCTTCTTATGACACCTTCACGGATTTCTTCACCTGACCTAGGTCCCTGCTTTCGTGGCTTCCCCTCATCTACAAGGGGGCTTTAAAAAATTCATGGGAAAATGTCATTATCTTTTAATGCCATTTTCCACAAACTTTTTGAAGCACATTCCCAACTTCTTGGCGGCTGGGGGTTCCTTTCAGTAAGACTTTCCTCACATGGAAATAGGGACAAGAATGAGAACGAGAGAACCTGGTTCCAACTTAACTCTAAATGATTTGGTGTTTGGTATCATCTATATGCCCTGCCCTGTATTCTTTATCACTACAAGTGTGCAGCCCACCTGCTCATCGGCCATACTGGGTCCCCACACACTAGTGGGGCCGAGGGCCAACCATTAAATGAGGGCAGGGGAGACTCTTGCTTCTGGTACAGGGGGCACTACCCCTCAGTGCCTGAGGGGACTTTTCTTCTTTCCACTTTTCTCTTTTCCTTTCTACGTTTTATTTCTTTGCAGTCTTCCCTTGGCTGTCTGATTTTTTCTTCTTAGTTATCCTTGTTCCTTTTTGGCCTTTTAAATGATATCCCTATTTTGGGTTTCCCCCACCATTCCCTTTTGTTTCTAAGCAGTCAAATGCTATCTTCTGGGTTAAGCCAGACAAGGCTAATTACTTTCCCTAAAGGAGGGAAAGAGAAACTCTTTTTCTCTAAGAGTAGGATAAACTCTACCAGGAGCTTCAAAACTTGTGGCTTATTGCTACAGCCCATTGTTTCAGGTTCCACCTTAGCTGCCCTAAAATAACATTACAAGAGGGCTTCAAATAACTCATGGAAAAAATGCTATTATCATTGCATTCCATTGTCTCAAAAAATTTCAAAGCCCTGTCATTACGAGTGGCCTAACCAATCTCATTTCTCAATCTCCCAACTTCTCCAAAGATCCACCTTTATCCCATTATACTGTACACATCAGGAATCTTTCTTCTCACCCCAGTCCTGGTTTGGTCAGATTCTCTCTGCAAGTATTCTACTAGGGTCACGGCCTCTTTAATGTTCTGTGGGTGGTGCTTCTGCATCTGGGTCTGGGTCTCCCTGGGCAGAATGGTCAGAAACTGTTCTAACACCAGCAGTTCCAAAATTTGCTCTTTTGAGTGGATCTCTGGCCTCAACCACCGATGGCATAATTCCTGAAGTTGGCTCACAGCCTCGAGGGGTCCAGCTGCTTCACGATAGCGGAAGTTCCGGAAGTCCTGGCGAGAGCTCTCAGAACCAGTACTGTAGATTTGTGGGCTCCATTTATCATGATGACTGGAGTTCTCTCTCACAGACCCCTTGGTTTCCCACAGAGCTGTGATCTGAGGGTCCAAGTGCGCAGCCACCTTCAGCTCTACAGTCATCATGCTGCTCTGGAATCAGCGTAGCTCCTCTGCTTCTTGTGCCACCTTTGACACTGAGGACTCATCTGTTATGGGACCAAACCAGCGTCTTCTTCCTAAGAATATAGAGGGCAGGGGGAAAAAAACCACATGCCAACATGAACCTTTAAAAAACATCGTGTAGGGTGGCTGATAGATTGAACTTCCTCTTAGTTAACAACGGTGCCACCAGGGCTCCGTCCATGACCCTTATTACTTGCATCTGTTATCAGAAAAAAATGAACAGATAAGGCTATCATATCTCTCTTTTAAAATCATTGGCCCCAAATTAGGTAACTCAAAGTGACAGATTTGCTCAGGTCCTTTATTTTTTATTTGACTTTGAAAGAGCACAGTTCAGAGAAGGCACATGACACTCTGACAATGGCTTGGCCTTTTTTCGTCCCCCGCCCCCCTTACACAGTTCAGGAAAGTGGGTATGAAAACTGTTATTTAGAAAACTGGCTGAAAGGAGCTTTGAATTATCCATGGATTTCAACAGCTGGCTTCCTATCCCATTTTCCCAATGTCAAAAGAAAATTAGGAAGAAATTAAAAAAATCACTTTTTCTAAAATTTAACAGCGCCTTCCTGTCTAGGCCTTTTGGAGGGTGGGGGGGAGGATACAACTTCGATTACCATTCATTCCTCTGTGAAGATGGGAATCGGGACTCTGAACTTTGTGGGACATTTATAATCCCTTTCCCACGGAGGGTGTGGGGAGGGGGGTGTTGGAAAGACTGTCAGCAGAGCTCAGACAGTGAGCTTGAAGAACAAATTACTTAAAATCGTTCACCTGAATAGGAGAAAGTTAGTTGGCTTTTGAGTTCTGGTGGGGCAGTGGTTAGATATTGGCATGCTATCCACATAGTCCTTCAGTAAGAATGTTCAACGGGAGAAAAATTCGGCCAGAAAAATTGGAATGTGTTCGGTGAGGGAGTGGCGATTAAGATGTTCACACAAGGTGACCTTCTATTGACGTCACATTTCTCCAGGGTCACTTAGGCTGTTGAGGGCAGCTCCTGGACAATGTGCTCAGTGGTGACCTGGTAAAAAGGGCACCTGCACTGTGTCCAGGATGCTGCGAGTGTGCAAAATGACAAGTTTTTTGCTGTCCAACCAGGCTCGGGGGCCACAGGGACCCGTCCCAAGTGCTGGCCATCAGCAGAAGCGGGTAACTGTGAGGCTGCATGAGCTGAAGCGGGCGAGTGTGTCCAGTGCGGGGGCCGGACCTCAACGCCCACCCCTCGAATTCACTCCAGTCTGACCGCAGGCCTCGCCCGGGGCTTGCGCGCCCCCCGAAAAAGGTCTCCTCCCCAGCCCGCGTCTCTCGGGGGACTCGGGGGCCCGAAGCCGAGGGAAAAGCGGCTTCCTGGTTACCTCTGGACAGCTCGGGTCCCGTGGCGGCCACTTCTCCCTTCCTCGGGCTCGACCACGAGGTCGTCGTCCGCCGCCGCGCCGCGCGGCCCAGGGCAGCGAAGCACGACCCGGAGCCCAGCCACGCAGCCCGCTCGCTTCCGGGGACGCGCGGACCCAGGGGCCGGGGCCCGTGGGAGACCCGCGTGCGCAGCCGGAAGCGGAAGTGACGCTTACCGGGGCGCTCGCGC